GGAGCTTTGGTTTCCAAAACTCTAGGACAAATAATTAATCCAACTGGTAATGAGGACATAATGCTGAATTCTAGAAAGAAATCACTTAACTCTTTCTATACTAGACAGCTCATTTTTCCCTTATAATAGTCTCTTTAGACCTAACAATATTTATTTGGGACAGTGTATAAATGGTCTGTTAGAGCCAGGCACACAGTGACACATACCTGCAACCCCAGAGACTCAGGAGCCTAAGGCAGAAGGACCACAAGTTCAAAGCCAGTATCAGCAACTCAGCAAGACTATCTCAAAATAAAAAAGGGTTGAGGATATGGCTCAGTGGTAAAGTACCCCTGTGTTCAATCCCTAGTAGCAGAAGAAAATAATAATAATAAAAAGTTTAGTAGAAAATAGTCTTTTCCAATGAAGTCAGATTATCTTTAAAAGTAAAAGAATCTACCAGGCATGTTGGCACATGCCTGTATTCCCAGCTACTAAGGAGGCTGAGGCAGGAGGATTACAAGTTTGAGGCCAGCCTAAGCAATTTGGTAGGATACTATCAAAATAAAAAGGGCTGGGGATATACCTCAGTGGTAGAGCACCTGTGGGTTCAATTCCTGGTACTAAAACAGTAACCAAAAAAGGTCAAAGAATCCTCCATCCCCAAAATGCATAACTTGAAAAATGAAATTCTATAGTAAAAAATGCTTTTAACTCCTGTTTTAATACAGGGACAAATTTTGTATATTTGGTAATTGGTACTTGGAAAAGTTATGTCTGTCTCCAAATTAGAACTTGTAAGCTAGCAGATAATTTAACTCTGGTTCCTTTGTTTTACTTGTTGCGATTCTGCCTGAGGAAGTCACCTTCCCTTCATGCTGCTTCCATTTCTCCTGCCTTTCATATTAGCTTATTCTTAGAATTTTGAAACGTTTCTCATCCAGGAATTTATAGCATATAAAATGTTTTTGAGAAGTTTTCTAGTCTGTATTTTCTCTAATTACCCTCAAGTCACATTTTCTAAAATTTTCATTAGTAATGAACATTGTACATTTTTTAATGCTGAAGGATCCAGCAGAACAAGTCACCTAAACTACCTATGTATTGAGGGTAGGTTAGTGACAACTGTTTCCTTAATGCAAAGGACTGATTCACATGGTTAATTCGGTTCCTCCTTGGTTCTAGCATTCTTTCTTTCTTTTGTTTTATGGTGGAGGTAAGGATTGAACCATGGACCTTATGCATGCTAGGCAAACATTCAACTACTGAGCTACCGTCCCAATCCTTGATTCTAGCTTTTTTTTTTTTTTTTTTGGTAGTTGTAGATGGACAGAATGTCTTTATTTTGAAGTGATAGAAAGTGATAAAGTGCTTGCCTAGCATGCTCAAGGCCCTGGGTTTGAACCCTAATACTGCAAAAGAAAAAAAAAATTGTGTTGAATTAGCATCATGATGTCTCTCAACCTTATATGTTTTGCATACAAAATTTGAAGAGTTGCTGTTTAAGATATCTTTTGGTTAAAAAAAAAAATAGAACATTTGTTTTCCTCTTCATAAAATTAGAAATATTAGTCAGTTGCCAAATAACTATGATCTACCTATGTGGAGGATAAATGGTGTCTAAAAGACTTAATATGTCAAGTTCTAAATTTTATGACAGAGTTATGAATGCCATAGGAGTTGCTGAGGACAATGACATGACTGAAGTGATAATAAAACTGCTATTAATTCTGTGCACTATATCTACATATTTGTTATCATTGATCCTTGCAATTGACCCTGTATGTTTGTCAATATCATTACTATTTCACAGATGAGAACATTAAGATTTAGAAAGAGTTGGGATTCAGAGCCAACTCTCCTGAGTTTGTGCTGATAAAAAGAGCTGATTTGAAAATTTGTATATATCTCATGAAGAATGTAGGACTTGTTGGGCATTAAAAATTGAGTGTTGGCATTGGAAAAGTAGCATGAGGAAATAGTCCAGTAAAGGAGCAAATTAAAAGGCAAAGAAGCAGGAATGAGCTCAACAGCTCATAAGACAGTATGGATACTTGCCTAGAGGACCAGAGCTACTGTGGGAATGAGAGTAACGTGAGGCCATATTGTGGTGGGCAAGAGGAGCTGGACAGAGGGGTAGTTGCTAGTAGTTTAAAGCCATATGAAAATTTTTTTGAGTGTTGAATCTGTGTAGCATTAAGGAAAACTGTCTGTCAAGGATATGTAGGATGAGAGAAAGACATGGGAGAACTTGAGTTACACAAGAAAGTCAACTTTCTGGTTACATTATCCTTGGGGTAGGAATTGGGGAGTGAAGGTGAAACCAGAGAAAAAGGAATGGGCACCACAGACATTTCGAAAATGAAAGAATTGGACTTGCACTTGGCATCTAAGTGAGTATTAAAAATAAGATAACAATAAAGATAACCTTCAAGTTTTGAGCTTGGGTGGCTGGGGGAAGGGGGGTTTCTACTGGCAAAAACAGAGAAGTTGAGAAGACATGTGGTTGGAGAAAAGGTAGAGTAGGGTTTAAGTGAGGAGGCATAGGCCTATATGTCAAGGAACCAGTGGGTTACCAAAATTCTGTGGAAAGCCTATTAGGAGGACCAAAGCAAGACTGAGTATGAAAGATCTCTATAGCCAGGTGTCAGAGTCACCAAGATCTTCAGAGCATAGAGAAGTAATGTGAGGGATCAGGAGCAGAGAGATCATCATATTAGAGAATGTATGGGCTCCACTTGTATTTGAGCAGGTTGTCAACCTTCTGTCCTCCACAACACATTCTTTCTGAAAACTTTAGAATTTTATTAATTTAGATTTAGTTATCCTTCACTTTTCATTTTCTCCAGACTCACCTAGGTATGATATAAAGGATTCTCCTTTTTGAAGCCTAGTAATAGGATTAAAATAAAGGGGAACTTTTAAAAATCTGTGGTATCAGTTTATTTAATTTATGCATTTGAGAAAGCTGTTCTTTTGTTTATGAAGAAATATAAGGACTAATCCTTTTTCTGCACTGAGTATCTAAAGCTAAAAAAGGAGCACTCCCAAGAAATCAGGATAGGGGAAAAATGACTTTGAGATGCACTTTCTTAAAATAACTGGGTAAATGACCTCATGAGCCAGCTGATAGCATGGGTTTGCAAATGGATACTTTTCTATTAGTCTGCTGCCCAATGCTGCAGAGCCAAATATATATGGAGTATATGATATCATATCCTGTAGGCAGGAGACTATCTGGGAGGGAATGAAATGGCAAGCTCCGTAGAGGAATTTACAGTATAAATACTGCCCATTAGACCTGTCTTTATTAGATAAATATTACTGATTTGGTTCATGGTTCATCCCTATTACATAACAATTTGTGTCATGTTCTTAGTAAAATAATACCTGGTATTTGTTATAAGAATATGGAATAGTTAAATAAGATCTTTAATATTAAAGGCTACCATACTCCTCTCTCATTAATACTTAAGTATTTTTGTTCATTTGTTTGTTTATTTTTTGGTTTTATAGCTATAGCCAGGTCCTTGAGTCTGACTCATTGTTCAGAATGTCCTTTCTCTTTGGTTGTGTGCTGCAGAGATAGTGCAGACATGTCTTTGGAAGATGTAGGATGTTACTTCTCTGTGCAGTGCTGTAGACCACCGGGTCAAAAGGGGAGCAGTAGGTCTTGGAGGAATTCTAAGCTCATAAGTTGAGGAACTGCTTTTCTTGCCAAAACTCATTATCAATTATGAAGAATATTCACAAAGCAAACCCCCCCTCCTCAGCACACACCCAGAGTGTGTTCAAAGTGCAAGAAATAAAGAAGAATGGCAGGACTGGGGTTGTGGCTCAGTGGTAGAGTGCTTGCCTAGGTATATGTGAGGCACTGGGTTCAATTCTCAGCACTACATATGAATAAATAAAGGCCCATTGGCAATTTTAAAAATATTTTTTAAAACAAATAAGAAGAAGAATGGTAGTTGTCTCTGTGGTTTAAAACCTGTTTGGTCTGAATTCAATTGTAAAATAAAGTCTTAATGGGTCTAGAGGTATAGCTTGGTGGTAAAGAAATTGCCTAGAATACACAAGACCCTGTGTTCAATCAATCCCCAGGGCCTGGGTTCATTCCTCAGCACTGAAAAAACAAAATTTTTAAAAATCTGATTGATGTCCATAATGTATTTAAAAATCATCCAAGCAACTGGGTGTGGTGACACACATATATGATCCCAAGGATTCAGAGAGTGAGACAGGAGAATAGCAAAAGGAGGGCTGGCCTGTACAACTTAGCAAGACCCTGTCTTAAAATAAAAAATTAAAAGGGCTGGGAATGTAGCTCAGTGATAGAGCACCTCTGGGTTCAATCCCCAGTACCACAAAAACAAAAGAAAGAAAAAAAAATCATGCAAGCTTCATTGTATCTATAGATAAGACTCACAGTGGCCTAGCTTTTTAGAAGAGTTTTAGGGTATTTTCCCCCCTTTATTAAGTAGAAAGTCTGTTTATTTTCATGTGTTTTATAATCAACTACCAAACTGAATTCTCTGATATTTGTAGTAGTTTTTCATTTGATTCTCTGGAGCGATTCAGTCATTTCATCTACAAATAATGATGATTTGATCTGCTCCTCACTTCTAACTCCTCTCGTATCTAATTGCGTTAATTACCAACTCCAGAACAATGTTTAAAACAGCTTGACTTGGACATCTTCAAGTACGTGGAAACTACAGAAGGGAAATTAGCTGTAGTGCCAGTAGTATCCTAGGAGGCAAAAATCAAACTTGGGGGTAGATGTGCTAGTTCTTTTAGGAACAGGTCTACAAAAAGAAAAGGGGCCCTTTACCAGCAAATCTACACTTCTCCATCACCCATGAAACGTAGTAACCTGTGGAAAACAGGGTGTTCTCAGCACTAACATTAGAAATTATTTGGGACCTTGGAGGAAGGTTTCATAATCTTAGAATTTGTTAGGGGACATGGACATACCTGAGATGGCTTTCATGAATACTAATGATTACACTCTTCTCTTTCAGGCCCAGCTTCGGGCATTTATCCCAGAGATGCTCAAGTACTCCACAGGTCGGGGAAAACCAGGCTGGGGGAAAGAAAGCTGCAAGCCTATCTGGTGGCCTGAAGATATCCCATGGGCAAATGTCCGGAGTGACGTCCGCACAGAAGAGCAAAAGCAGAGGGTGAGCATTCCTCAGCCTGAGTTACCCATTGTTTTTCCACTCTGAATTAATCACCTCAAATTTTGTCATTACTATTTCTAAAACGTCTAAAAACATTTGTGTAATAGACCTATCCCTCCCAAGAAGTTCACTGGTCACTGATTTTATAACATTGCTCATTTGTCATTTCTTCCCTATAAAAAGTCCAGGATGGGTCCATGAATTTATATTTTGTCTTCTTAGTTGCCTTTTGAAGCAGCTTTAATTTTATGAGGTGCTTGGGAAAACCCAAGAAACTTAAAGTGAAAATATTAATCACTTGAAGACATAGAAATATTAGTAAGAATCACTGTTGAAAAATACAAGTATGAATTAGAGAGAGATGAACTTTTCCAAGTGAGCCTACTAATAACAAAACTTTGAGAAGAAAGACTAAACTAGATAATAGATAACATCCCTATTTTTCTGCATTTTTTTAAATTTAACTTTGAAGTTTACTGAGAATCTTAATATATGATTCTTGACTAGAATAATGTTTCTTTGTCAGAAGTTTAATAAGAGTTTGGCCTTAGTTTGGAATAGGGTATAAAACCCAAAAGCTAAACTAGACTTTCACCAGGAAGGAAATCATTGGGAAACCTCCTTTAATATTTGGTACTCAGTTTGCTTATTCCAGAATCAGTCTGTGGGAAATAATCCTAAAACAGTTTACTCTGCATAAGATTTGATTTGGTTTGAAACATAAGCAGCTGCATTATTGGGTTTAGATACTATGGTACTTTGTGGTTTAATGTGCTTTTCTGGTCTTTTGGTGACAGGTTTCATGGACACAAGCACTAAGGACCATAGTTAAAAACTGTTATAAACAGCATGGGCGGGAGGATCTTTTATATGCTTTTGAAGATCAACAAACACAGGCTACTACCACACACAGTATAGCCCATCTTGTACCATCACAGACTGTAGTGCAGACCTTTAGCAACCCTGACGGCACTGTCTCACTCATCCAGGTGAGTAAACCTAATGGTTACCAGAGAGGTGGGTCACTGGACACCTTCCCCAGACTGCAGGAAGTTTTCTTGTGCAAACTCTTGTATAAGCTTCATACACCTCCCCTAGATCTCTCTCCTGGCTAAAATTGACTTTTAAACAGTATTTTAAATTGTTTTCATTTTACTCAGTTCAGAGCTATGAGTAGCTTTCCTGGACATTTCCAAAATAAAACCCTTTAAAGTGGCTTCTTTTTTACTGTTTCACTATCAGTGGCCAGGGAATATTCCTTCTGAATTACCTCTTCTGTGGCAAACCCAATTTATTGACAGGAGGGGAACTTCTAAATTTCAGGTTGGGATGAGAGTAAGAAACCAGTTGACTAGCTCTGGCCACTGATTAGACATGTAATAGCTCTTCTAATACTGATCTATTTGGTTGAAATAAATTTCTGAAACTCATATGAGTCTCTGAGAAATAGTTTAGTAGCTGATTTTATATCACAATTACATATTAATCATTATCTGCTGAATTTGGGGTTCAATGCATCTTAGTTCCTGAGGAGAGACAAAGCAGAGGGTCTAATCACTGATATCAGTTCCCGTGTTTTTCCTTAGGTTGGTACAGGGGCAACAGTGGCCACATTGGCTGATGCTTCAGAACTGCCAACCACAGTCACTGTTGCCCAAGTGAATTATTCTGCTGTGGCTGATGGAGAGGTAAGAAAGAGGATTCTGTCTATATCTGTTTAAATACCTAGATGACTAGGTGAGGGAGAGCTGAGGATTCAGAAGATGAAGAAGTAGCCTCTATGTCTATAACATTGTATTAAGTGTTTTTAACATCATGCTTTGACAATTTGGGGGGGTATCTTATGCTGTTTTTTTTTAGTTGTAGTTGGACACAACACCCTTATTTTATTTATTTATGTTTATGTGGTGCTGAGGATCCAACCCAGGGCCTCGTATGCGCTAAGCGAGCGCTCTATCATTGAGCCACAACCCCAGCCCTTATACTGTGTATTTTAATTGTAACAATTAAAATCCACAGGGGCTAAGGATATGACTCAGTGTTGACCGCTTGCCTGTAGGGTGCGTGAAGTCCTGGGTTCAATCCACAGCACCTCCAAAAAAAAAGTGAAAATTCATGGATCATTATGAACTGAACCTAGCTGTTAGAAACGTGTAATTTTGCATTTACAATATAGCATTTTATATAATACACAGTAAAAGAGATTGTCTCTTTAATACTTTCATGAGAAGGACCATTTGGGAGCCTGGTATGCCAAGAGTATGCAATAATCTATAGTTATGAAGAAATTAAAATTCTGTAGCTTTAAGCAAAATAAAATTAATTAGAGACAGGTACAAATTACATAGATATTTAGAATTGACTAAAGAAAGAATTTCAAAAAATATGAACATTGCTTATGGACATACATGTTGATTTTAAAATATACACTAACTGAGTGTGGTATTCCATTCCTGTAGTCACAGCTACTTGGGAAGCTTGAGCTGTACCTCAGTGGTAGAGCACTTGTCTAGCATCTGTAAGGCCCTGAGTTTAATCCCTAATACTGAAAATAATAATAATAATAATAATAATAATAAATTAAATAAATAATTTTATGCTGATGGCATATGTAAAAATGCAAATGGTTTTAAGAATTTATTCCATTGTGTGATGGGACCAACAGTTGGTATTGGTGATATTAACAGCCATAGGTGTCAAAAAAATCAAAATAGAATATCCAGTGATAATGATCTATGATTCTGCTGGAAGAAGGAAAAAACACCAACGTTCAAAGACATTAGAGACATGAATTTTAAATGGAACTATCAGTACATATATTCATTTTGAAATTGCACAACTCATTTTAGTGAGTTTTTAATGAATGTCAGTTTAACTGAAATAGGGATAAGCTGGATAATAAGTAGAAAAATGTAAATAAATGAGTATATTCTCCATCCAGACATTCAGCAAACACTTTTGGCGCCCTGTGCCAGGTGCAGGACAGTAAAGACTGTCCTTGCTGGTAAGGAGCACTAGGCAGGTGATAGGAAAAATCCATGCAGAACCATGGCAGTGAGCTAGATCAGGTGAGCCCAGGATGCTATGGAACTCAGAGGAGAGAGCCTAACTTTGAACCATAGGCTGATGGGTTTTCTCAGGAAATACTTCCTGGGGGGAGTAGAACCTGAGCTCAGACTAGGAGCATAACTAGAAAACAAAAGACTCAAGGATGGGAGTTGGGTTCATGTTGAAGGCAGCAACACATTCTATGCACTGCATTGTGAAAGCATGAAGAAGCCACAATTCAAAGGGCCCCAGTGCAGTGGATCTTTCAGGCATAGAAACTCATAGGCCTTCTCTGAATATCTTCTGTCTTCAGGTTTGTAGCCCTTTCTTTAGGTCATAGTGACATCTAGGCATAGACTATCATACACTGGCTCCCCCCAACAGATGGGAGCAGAGAGCAACAAGGGTTTAAGCAAAGTACTAAGACTCTAGGATAGGAAGTTCCAAAGAGATCGTAGCACAAAAGCTAATTTATTCCTCACCTGCCATATTTCTGATTAGAAAACTCCCATTTTCTCTCCACATTTTGCTGTCATCCCTGTAAATCTTGTGCCATATAATTTAACTTCTTTAAATTATGTTGTCTATGGCTACATCCTAAAACTATTTTACCACAATGCACTTGTAACTGAATGAGTCTATGCTGAATTGCTGCCACTGGAGAATGGAGATTTGGAAGTTGCCCCAGACCAAGCTCAGATAAGAGCAGCAGCAATAGGATCACTAAAAGAGAGGGCTGGATCAGGACAAAGGAAGACTTGTGTAAGGGCCATAGGTGACAGTGCTGCCAGCTTCAACAGCTATTTTTTTTTAATATATTTATTTTTATTTATTTATTTTTATGTGGTGCTGAGGATCAAACCCAGGGCCTCTCGTGTTCGAGGCAAGCGTTCTACCACTGAGCTACAACCCCAACCCTCAGCAGCTATTTTGATTGGAATCACGAACCATCTAAGAATTGACAATGTAGCTTGCCATCGAAAGTGGCATTATTGGTAACAATGCTCCTTAGAGAAATGAGATCAAAGTGATCCTACCTGGGGAAGCAAGAGTTTTTTAAGTTTCTGAGTAGGCAGCTTTGCAGCTCTAGGATATCTCTTCCTTTGTAGTGAGGAGCCATGAAGGCTTGCTGGCACAGCCATCTGCCCAAGAGAACCAAGAACACACACTAAGGAGCTAAGGAATGTCTCCTCTGGGAGGCTTTTGAGAAACATGCTGAGAAGCATTGTCCTAATCTTAGGATGTAATTTTATGATTCACAGGACCAAACCAGGTTATTTTAAACGTTTCTCCTAGAGCTATGGCACTTTCTATGGATCTAGCAATGTGAAGCAGGGACAACAAGAACCCTTTGAAGCACAGCTAACATCCTAAGGTCTAGGAGTTCAAGGAGGTTTTAGGCCTGAACTGATTTATCACCACCACCCCCATATCTTTGCCCTGCTCTTTTTTGGTTGGGGGGTGTGTGTGATAATTAATCAACCAGTATTTATTGAGCCAAATGAATTAAAGTAACTAGATACTGATATCCATAACAAGAAGTCTTTCCATAGAAGGTATGTTACTAAAATCAGTGGTTCTTAACCCAGAACCAGAAGGGACATTTTGACAGTATCTGGAGACATATCTGATTGTCATGACTGGTGAGGATACTGTTGGTAGAGTGCTTGCCTTGTTTGCACAAGGCCCTGGGTTCATCCCCAGCACCACACACAGACATACACACACACACTCACAAAAAAAAAAAAAAAGATATTCCACAGCATTGTTGGTAATAGCAAAAGACTAGAACCTGAATGTCCATTAAAAAATGGCTGCTATGTCAGTCATGGTATTTCTGTGTAGTACAGTGCCCTGCAACCATTATTATGAATTCTGAATCATGAATGAATGAGGAAGTTTTCTGTGTTCTAAAGTGGAATCATTTCAGAGACGTATTGTTTGTGGGGGGAAAAAACAAGGTATAAAGGGTATGTAAAATAATTGTCATTTTCATTTTTTAAAAAGAAGGAATAGGGGCGGGGCTTGGTGGCACACTCCTGTAATCCCAGTGACTTGGGAGGCCGGGGCAGGAGGATGGAGAGTTCAAAGCCCAGCCTCAGCAACTTAGCGAGACCCTGCCTTTAAAACAAAACATAAAAAGGGTTATGGATATGGCATAGTGATTAAGCACTCCTGGGTACAACCCCTGTATGTATGTATGTATGTATGTATAGATAAATAAACAAATAACCAAGAAGGAATAAGGGCTAGGGACGTAGCTCAGCACAGGAAGAAGGAAATAGATGTGTGTATATGAGAGAGAATGTGCTTGCATATAAAGAGAATACCTCTGCAAAGATTCATAGGAAAACAAACAACAGTAATCAATGCCTAGAGTACTGGCATTTCCTCTGACACAGTTTGAATTTATCAAACACAGCATGATGTTTTGAAGTATATATACATTATGGGGTATAGTGAGAACACTTGAAATCTCTCTTAACAGTTTTCCAGAATTCAATACAATGCTTTAAATAAAAATTTTGGTAACTACATTTATTGTCTATTTTTAAAAATTACCTTAATTTTTGAATAGATAATATTGATATGGTCCAAACTTTTAAAACAATATTTAAAAGTAAGCAGTGGAAAGTCTTGCTTTCTGTCACATATTCAACCCTGAGGAAGTATTCTCAGTGTGATCCTCCACATTGAGAATATGTATGTTTTCTAGAATTTCTTTATGCAAACTTCAAAAGAATTTAAATATTTATTCTGAAACCCCCCTTTTTATACAAAAGACAACATACTAAAAAACTCTGTCTGTACATAGTAGGTCCTTTGCTTTAAAAGTATATATTTGGCTTGAAAATAGCAATTTATTATAAAAATTACTTTTTAAACTCATAACTTTTTCATGGCTTTAATTTTTGATTGTCTTGTCCTTTCTGCCTCAGGTGGAACAAAATTGGGCCACATTGCAGGGAGGAGAAATGACCATCCAGACGACGCAAGCATCAGAGGCAACACAGGCGGTAGCGTCGTTGGCAGAGGCCGCAGTGGCAGCTTCACAGGAAATGCAACAGGGAGCTACTGTCACCATGGCACTCAACAGGTGGAGGCAGGGGTAGGGGAATAAGTGGGAATGGCAGGACTTTGTCTTTAAAGAGAAGCGCTATACCTCAGTTTGTCAGAATTGGCAGTTGGGCCTAACACTCTCAGCTCATAAGATACCATGGGTTGATTTCTAATAAGCCCTCACCAAAAACATTGAACTTTTTTTCTTCCGGAATGTTTAGGAAGGATGCTATGGAATGAGACCCTAGTGAGAGGTGGTTTCTTCCTGAATTGTGTTGTTCCTTTCTTGGTTCTTTCTACTGGTTGTTGAAAGGAAAGATTATCCCTATATTAGTCTTCTTTTTCATTCTCGACAGAATTTTAATTTCAACAGATCCAGACATTTTAATTAATGGTTAAGCATATGGTCTTAGAGCCAAACTACATGGGTTTGAAGCCCAGCCCTGTCACCTACTAGCTGGTTGTCCTAGGAAAGTTTAATTGAACTCTCAGTGCCCAGGCTTTTCTCTTCTGTAAAATGAGGGTAATAACTGTACTTATGATAGTGTTATGAGAGAAGTTACTGCAAGTGAAATTCTCGGATGAGCGCCTGGCATGTAGTAAGGGCTGCAACTGTTGTCACTGTGGGCAGCTGCTATTAGTCTTACATAACCATTTAACTCTGCCATGCCAGCACTCTGCTAGATAAGGCTGAAAATAGGGTGATCCAGCACAGAATCTTTGCTCTTGACAAAATCATACTCTTATTGAAGAAACTGATTTCACTAAAACAATCACCTAGCCAATAGTATTAGACAGTAGTTCACTATTGAATTGGGTAGTACAGACTATGCACATTGTAAAATTCAGAGGGGGAGTCACCTCCCCAAAAATATAAAAATCAGTCAAAATTTAGATTGGTTGGAACAGATCTGGAGAGCCTTGATGGGTTTGAATAAAAACAGTGCATTGTATGAGGTTGTTCATGGTGGTAGTTGAGAAGAGGTCACGTAGATTTGATCCAGATCCCAGCTCCTCCACTTACTAGCCATAAGCTCTTGAGAAATTTCACCCCTGAGCCTTGTTTCCTTCTCATTGTTAAGAGGATAATATTCATCAAATAGATTCAATGATTCAATGATATGATATATATAAAACTTTCATCAGGGTGTCCAACTCATTAGCACTTAGGAATTAATACCTATTGACATTTAAAATGTATTTTAAGATTTGTTTAGAATTGTTTATGGTGATTAGAAGATCAGTTAGGAAGAGGCAGTCTAAGTGTGCCTTGTTAAATCTGGAAAACTAAAATAGTAAGAATGGGACTGCATTGAATTGCAATGCAGTAATGGCCAGGTGAATCAGGAATAAGACTGAAATACACACACACACACACACACACATATTCATATTCTCTCTCTCTCCCCCTCCCCCCACTCTCTCAGTGTTACCCGTGAGTCTCTCAGTGACCTGGAATTGAAGCTTTTTTTCTCAGCCCATTGAACCATGTCACTCTTCAGGAACATGAAAGTCTTCTTTGGTTCCTTAGACATTGGCTCAGTCTTACTCCTTCCTTTAAAAGAGTTCACCCAGATAAACTTCCTGAAAGGCACAGCCAGAGTGAGAACCATCCTCCCCAGTAACCCTTCACTGCAACTTCTGGTCTAACAGGCAGCATTAAAGACCAGCAAAACCTGAGCCTTCCACTCACACCCTGGATATTCCAGTGAAGTGTAGCGTCCTGGGAACTCTGTATTCATAGTGGAAAATCTGAGGCATGTTCTGGCTCCCTTTGCTGTGAGGACTAGAGCTTATTTCTAAAGGCTAAAGGGGGGGTAATGGTATCCCCTGAGGGCTTGTTAACAAACTAGGATGCAGCTGAGGTGGCTACAATGTTTACTCCAAAGGAAGGAGAATGTGGTTCACTGTGGCATGAAGGAGGAGTAAAGAGATGTTGAAATCTGTTTGCAATCAGATAGTCCAATGCCCCAGTGAGTCTAGGGGGTTGCAGGGGTGAAGAAACCAAACCTGGCAGCAAACACTATAACCCATGGTCTAATGTCTTAGGATGGTTGGATTTAAGGCAGGCTCTTGGTGATTGTTTCTCTGTGGATGAGACACAGTGGAATCCTTTAGGCTCTGCACTTGTAGCCTCTCCATAGTTTGTTGTTGGAAGTCATCTTAGTGAAAAAACACACAGAGAAATCTGGTCTTTGTTCCTATGGTTACAAAGTGATTTCATAATCTGCCCCCTTCCAGCCTGTCTCAGTTTCAGGTGCAGATGGAATAAGCATGGTTCTCTAATAACCACCTGCACCTCTGCTGCACTGTAAACAGCAGATGCGGGCACAGAGTAAGAAAGGGGAGGCAAGCTGCATGTAATGGCAGGTGGCAGACTAAGAAGGCAGAAGGACTCCTTCATCCGTTAGAGGGGAAGGGGATCAGGACAGATGCAGGACAGACCTGTTTTTCAACCATGTGTTGACATAGTTTTGTGTAGCAAGTCAGAACAAGGGCCTAGGGCTCCACAGCTGCAGCCCACCCTGGCTTCATCACAATCCAAAGGGGCTGTGGAAAAATTATCGCGAAAACTGAAGACTAAGTTAATTTAAAATTTCAAAATAAAGAATAAAACAGCACTTTTAGGAAGGAGGTAGGGAGGGAATCAAGGTAAACAAATGAAAAGCAAAACATCACAGCCCAAACAACCAGAGAAGAAAGAAGTGATATCTTTTAATTATTGCCATACGGTGGTAAATTTGAAGTTTCATTACTTCGCATAGCTATCCGAGACTTATGAGTTGCGTCCGCCTTCCTCTTCCTCTTCTTCCTGTTCCCCTTCCACTTCTTTTTGTGTATGGGTGTGCACACTGGGGATTGAACCCAGAAGCATTCTACCTCTAAGCTCCATCCTTCCAGCCGTTTCTAAAATACTATGGGTTGGGGACGGTACTGGGAATTGAACTCAGGGGCACTCAACCACTGAGCCATCCTCAGCCCTATTTTGTATTTTATTTAGAGGCAAGGTCTCATTGAATTGCTTAGCGCCTTGATTTTGCTAAGGCTGACTTTGAACTCCTGTCTCAGCCTCCTGAACTGCTGGGATTACAGACATGCACCACTGCACCTGGCTCTAAAATATTGTTTTGAAACGGGGTCTAACTAAGTTGCCCAGACTGACCTCAAACTTGTGGTACTCCTTCCTCTTCAATCTCCTGAGTAGCAGGGATTACAGATGTGTACCACCACACCTGATTTATAATCCCCCTTAAACAGGACTTCCTGCATAATCAATTCTTGTGTATGACCAATTTAGCCCTTGCACGTAGAGATTCATGATATGGATTCATAGACCAGCCTACATTACCCCGGTAGACATGATGTTAATACTGAGAGAGTATTTTTTGTGTGTCTACTGTGCATAGTGCTGAGACTCAGGGTTGTAGGGAAACAGATGTTTAGATCACTTTCACTTCTCAAGGAATTTAGAACTTGCCTTTCTTTAGCTATAGAGATGTGACTTAATAAAAAAATGAACTATATTTTTAAATAAAAATTTACTCTTTTATTTTGGATTGATACATAAAAATTGTACTTATCTATGGGGTACTCTATGATATTTTAATACATGTGTACACTCTTTGTTAAGATGAAAATATTGACTTAAAGTTAGAGACATTATTAAAATATGGCTTTACCATATAGACTGATAGTAATCCATAAAATGGAATGGATAGTATAGATCACAAATTCTTTCTGGAAACAGTGGGCAAAGACTACATAACTGCTTTTCTTTCCTGTAGATAAAGGTTGGAAACTTAAAAAGATGATGGAGCCAGGCCTGATGGCACACACCTGTGATTCCAGTCACTTTGGAGGCTGAGGCAGGAGGATTGCAAGTTCAAGTCCAGCCTTGGCAACTTAGTGAGACCTTGTCTCGAAATAAAAGGGCTGAAGATATAGCTCAGAGTTAGAGTGCTGGCCTGGCCCTGGGTTCAATCCCAGTGCCTAGGGATAAAAAGAAAGAAAGAAAATGACTTTTGTCTAAAAACTGTAAAGTGGTAGCTTAAGGAAATATTAATCTCTGTTCACCTTTAAGTAAAGGTAATCTTTTTCTTCTACTTATGTTTGATCATTTCCCATTAGATCTAGTATAAATGAGTAGAACCAATATGGAAATGATAGGCCTGCTAACCACGAGAAGTCATTGCTGTCTTTATGTCCTATGCTTTTTCTCTGGCTCCTGACCAGGGGAATAACTAACTTCACCCACCTGTCAGTGCATCACCCCCATCAGACCACTCATCCTTAGTCATCACAAATTGTTTTTGGTTATTGCTGGGTTTTTATTTTTTTTTATATTTGTTTGATTGTTTTGTTGCTGGTTTTAAATCTTCTTCTTCCATACCATATTTTAGAAAGAATTAAAGAAAATAACTTCAAATACATAGAGCTTTTGGAAGACTAAAGGGCATGCTTAGATACAGACATGCCGAGTCAGGCCTGGGAGCTGCCTCCCTTCACTGCCCCTGCCTCGCCCTGCAGCATGTGTCTAGGTTGGATACTTTCCACTTTCCATAAAGTCTCAGGTCAGAATTGTTTTTGTTTTTGCAGTACTAGGAATTAAACCCAGGGCTAAGCTCCATCCCTAGCCCTGTTTTGTTTTGTTTTATTTTGAGACAGGATCTCATTAAGTTGATGAGGCTGGCCTCAAATTTGCCATCCTCCATGCCTCAGCCTCCAGAGTACCTGGGATTATAGGTATGGGCCACTGTATCCAGTCTGAATGTAAATACTTTTATCATTAAGGCATGATAACTAAATAATATGAAATTGACTAGTAATATTATTTATTGATTAAAGTTTCTTTAAAAAAATATTTAGGACTGGGAATGTATCTCAGTTGGTAGAGTGCTTCCCTTGCATGTACAAGGCCCTGGATTCAATTCCCAGTACCTCAAAACAAAATATTTTTTAAAACTATGTGAGGGCTGGGGGTATAGCTCAGTGGTAGCATGTTTGCCTTAGCGTATGCAAGACCTTAGGTTCAATCCCCACTACTGGTGGGGGGAGAGGAGGTCTGGCTGGTCATGGTGGTACTGGTCTGTAATCCCAGCTACTAGGATGGCTGAATCAGGAGGATCACAAGTTTGAGACCAGCCTGGGCAACTTAATGAGACCTTGTTGCAAAATTTGAAAAACTAAAAAGGACTAGAGATATAGCTCAGTGGTGGAGTTCCCCTGAGTTCAATCCCCAATACAATACAATAAATAAATAACTGTATTGCAGTATGATCCTGATTATCTGATTAACATTTAAGATTAGAAAAAATAATTGCCATCTTTATATGAGATTTAAACTTTTCTACTTACTAAAATGTTCCCAATTTTTGCATATGTATTGCTTTATTGTCAGAAAAAAAAATTAACTCTTAAATAGAGACATAAAAATTAAAAAGGAAGGGCTGGAGTTGTAACTCATGATAGAGCACTTGCCTAGCATGTGTGAGGCACTGGATTTGATCCTCAGCACTACATAAAGATAAATAAATAAACTATTGTGTCAATCTACAACTAAAAATATTTTTAAAAAGAAAAAAGAAAGGCCTTTCTTTTTTTTTTTTTTTTAATATTTTTAGTTGTAAGTTAGTAAGAAGGAGAGAATTTTCTACTTAGAATTTTTTCTGCCCACTGAGTTTCTTTTACTGCTCCCTAGAATCCTGAAGTAACCAAGAAGTCCTTCTAAGGGGAATTACTATGTCTGTTACCTTATTTCTCTGCTGAGTTTCTTAGGATAAAGAGAGACAGTGAATTTTGTGCTTTGCACAGTCATAACATGTTTGCACCAACAAAACCCTGTCCACTCACACCCCCCACCTAGAGCCTGTGACTGCAAGATGCCTGCCTCTATGACAGGAAAGCCTATAACTTCAGAGTAAAGCTGAGTCCTCTGGTTTATTTGGGAATCAAACCAGGTCTTGGCCCACCTCTGCAAAACTAAATAATACCACCTTTTCTGCTACATGCCCACTTCTGATATTCCCTCAGTAACTGCAAATTGATACTTTCTATTTTACTATGAAGAATACTGAATTTATGTTTTTTTCACATTTTAACATCTCTGATATTTGTGAGGGTTTTTTTTATAATTTTATTTTTTTTATTCTGATTTGTTATATATGATAGCAGAATGCACTACAATTCATATTACACATAGAGCACATTTTTTCATATCTCTGGTTGTATACAAAGTATGTTCACACCATTCATGTCTTCATACATGTACTTAGGGAAATGATGTCCATCTCATTCCCCATCTTTTTTACGCCCCTTACCTCCCTTTCACCCTGTCTAGAGTTCATCTAATCTTCACATGCTTCCCCTCCCAACCCCACTATGAATCAGCCTCCTTATATCAGAGAAAACATTCAGCATTTGGTTTTTTGGGATTGGCTAACTTCACTTAGCATTATCTTCTCTAGCTCCATCTACATACCTGCAAATGCCATTAACATCTCTGATATTTGGTTAACAAATTTTAATCTTATAATTTCCCCCAATTTTTCTTTTATTCTTTACTGGCACATAAAATAATAGTACATCTTATAGTTTGTAGCATCATAGAATCAAGAAAAGTGTATACTTATGCTCATAGTTAAAGCATACAACAAGGAAATGAAAGAAAAATGAGAAATAGGATATAAACTGCTAAAATACTGCTCCATCTAAACAGATGGTTAATGTCTTTCTATTCTACACAGGGTTTGCTTTACAATGAAAGGGAGTTTATTATTTCCTTGTATTTATAGAGGCAAGAAACTTAGGCATATAGTGATAGTTTTAAGCCTTCATTTTTAGCCCTATCTATATATACAGAGAGGCAAAAAGAAGAGTTGGACTTTTCAGGGTATCAGTCACCATTTATTGTATTAAAAAACATGGAGAGAGGGGCTGGGATTGTGGTTCAGCGGTAGAGCGTTCTCCTAGCACGTGCGAAGCCCTGGGTTCGATCCTCCTCAGCACCACATAAAAATAAAATAAAGATATTGTGTCCAACTACAACTAAAAAAAAAAAAAAAAGCTGGGGCTGTAGCTCCGTGGCAGAGCACTTGCTTAGCATGCGTGGGGCACTGGGTTTGATCCTCAGCACCACATAAAAATAAACAAATAAAATAAAGGTATTCTGTCCATACACAACTACAAAAAAAATTAAAAAAAAAAAAAAAGGCATGGAGAGCCAGGTGCAGTGGCACAACTAGGGAGGCTAAGGCAGGAGGATCACAAGTTCAAAGCCAGCCTCAGCAACTTAGTGAGGCCCTAGGTAACAGCAAGACTCTCAAAATAAAAAAGAAAAAGAGCTTGGGATGTGGCTCTGGTTAAATGTCCCTGGGTTCAATCCCTGGTACCAAAAAATAAATAAAAGGCATGGAAAACTGGGTGCAGTGGCATACCTCTGTAATCCCAGTGACTCAAGAGGCTGAGGCGGGAGGATTAAAGGTTCAAATTCAGCCTCAGCAATTTAATGAGACCCTATCTCCAAGTAAAAACTAACCAGAGCTAGGGATGTTGTTAAGCGCCCCTGAGTTCAATCCCCAGTACCTAATAATAATAATAATAATAATAATAAATAAGTGAAATGAATGGATATAGCCAGGCAGTATAGCACACACCTGTAATGCAGCTACCCCTGAGGCTGAGGCAGGAGGATTGCAAGTTCAAGGCCAGCCTTAGTGAGACTCATCTCAAAAATAAAAAGGCTGGAGATACAGCTCACTGGTAGAGCACTTGCCTACCTTGTGCAAGGCCCTGGCTTCAATTTTCAGCTTTAAAAAAAAAAAAAAAGTATAGATATAAACTAAATTGTTTTTATTTAGTTAAATAGCAAGTTCAGGTTGCTGATTCTTCATATTATCTTCCATTCTTGGCTTAAAAGATAGTGTCAGTTGGTCAGCCCTGTGTTACCATAAAGAGGAAGAGAAAACCTGTGATTGCCAATCAAAATGGCTTTTGCATTGTGAATATGGATCACACCTTCCATTATAGCTTTCAAGCACTCAGTTGATATTGATAAGAAGAGACACATAATGAACATCTTCTGTCCTCAAACACTCATTACCTGGGTTAAAAGAAAATTTCAAATTAGTTTTATAAATATATGGCTTGAGATTTTTCTAGCTTTTTATTATCATTTTAGAATTACTCCTGGCTCTGTCTGTTGCTCTGACTGGCATCAAAGATTTTCTAGTAGGCTTGCAGCCATGAAGTCAGTAGAAAGATCCACAGTTTGTCTTGCTGCGGTGCTGTACCTTTATCTACTTGCATATCCCTCTCTCCTGTTTCTGTACCCACAGTGAAGCTGCCGCTCATGCTGTCGCCACCCTGGCTGAAGCCACCTTACAAGGCGGGGGACAGATCGTCCTGTCTGGGGAAACCGCAGCAGCCGTTGGAGCACTTACTGGAGTCCAAGATGCTAATGGTAAGAGAGCATAAATATTTTATTGAATTTCTTCCCTGTTTCCACTTAAATCTTCGTGACATGACTGATAACAAACCCTTCAGAAGGAGGTTGAGCTTGGTTTAATTTTTTCTTTATGGGTAGGTATTCAATGCCTAGGAAAATTCTGGGAGCTCCTAATTCCTTTACAAGTAAGAGACTTGGGATTTCCTGAAGGAAAACACCATGATAATGGCTACCTATTTGAATTGTGTATTTAAAAGTGACTATTTTGCTGTGACAAGACTTGCTGGGAGGCACTTTAGAATTTGCTGTGGGGTACATTTTGTCCTTTACTCTCCTGTTGAGTAGAATAGATTGTACTTTACTGCAGCAGAGACTCTCCCGTGGGCAGGTGGAATGTTCTGACTCCCTCCAGAAAGGCGCCATCATTTCACCTGCCCCAGGGTCAGGCAGCAGGCTGTGACAAAGGCATTTTTCTGGTTGGTACTGTGGGTTCTGCTTCCTGTTATATGTGGCCTCACTAAGGACATCTGGATTTAGCCAGTAACATGCCACCACCCTGCCCTTTCCCAGCTCTTTGTCTTACTGGATATTGGTGAATATCCTGAATAAACAAAAAGGACAAAGTTCATAGAACTATGGTGGCAAAAACTTACAACTCCGATCCAGCTCTTTGGATCCACTTCAGCAGGCTCTGGGAGTCAGTGGCCAAGACTTGGGCTGCCCAGAGAAGTGCCTCAGAAGTCTGGATCAAAGAGGAGGACCAGCCCCAATCTGTGAGACTCTGTGCTTGTTTCTTAAACTTTAAAAGTATATAATTAAGCAGGAAATTAAGTACTCTTTGGTTTGGGGAAAATTGCTGCTTTACATCCTGGAAATGAAATAGATAAATAATATACTTTTATTTAGGCAGAAAGTTCCTTAACGTCATTAGAGGCCGACAGAGAAGTTCCTGGCCCCTTTTTGATGGTGGGTTCCTAAGATCTGAATACCCCATTAGTTGTTGGGAAAGTCTTTGAAGAAAGACAATATATCTTCCTTTGGAACTGGGAAGATATAAAGTACTCTGTCTCCCTATAGAAGAAAAACATAGGAAGTACAGGGCATTTATGGCTTCTGAGAATCATTTTTGGAAGAAAATCCAATACTACAACTACAACTTTCTTTTTCCAAGGGCCTAGGTACTTTCTTGTACTGACCTAAATGGGGCTGATCTTAGCCACAATACTGCAAGATAAAGTGTTCAGAATGAAATAGACCTTAGATGGAATTAAGGGAACATTCCTCTGTAGCTAGAATCCTACACCTATATTCTTGCTTTTTTTGTACCTCATCTGAGTCCTAATCTACCCTGAATAAAGGTAGGACAACTAGCTGTGTGCATCCTTCTGAAGTTGTTGCTATTCACAATAGAACTGTTAAAAACACTTCCCTGTGTGGGCTTGGTAAGAGACTTTGTTACCCATTCTAATGGACTTGACCCGTCTGGGAGACAACAGACTGCTTTATAGTTCTGTCTGATCCCCAGCCTCACCCTTTCAGATGTATAAATTCATGGTTAAGTCTAAGGACCCTCTGGGGTTCCAGCCAAGTACACCTGTTCAGCCATACAATGAGATTGAACCACACTTATTACCATTGATTACTGGAAGCTGTCTCTTTTCAGTAGCATCGGGTTATGTGAATCTGTAGGTGTTGATTTCGTGTTGTTGCCTGAATTTATAAGAGAAAATTCTGGTCTACATCCTAAATGCCAGTAGAAATTCCATTTAGGCATGGTAGCACATGCCTAAAGTCCCAGCTACTCAGGAGGCAACAGAGTGAGACACCCTCAACCCCCCAAAAAAGGCCAATAGTTCCCCTGAAGCAGGCTATACTGTTTGTGACTGCCAGCACTCGCCGAACTTGAACCTTAAGAGTTGGACTTATCCCTTTCTCAACATAGCTTCTCTGAATTAAATCAGATTGCTACCTCCTGCTTTACCCCAGCAGTGTCAGGCAAAGGCCAATAATTTTATATACCCGTGTGAATCCAGAGAATTAATACAATGTTGGAGATAAGCCAGATAATTCTGATAACTCCTTCTGTCTTCTAACATTTTCACCCAGAGTGCCACAGTATTTTCTCTAGAACTAGAATCGTTTTTTCTACTTAATTTGTTATCTGGCTATCATTTTTTTCATATTGTGTCCTGTTGCCCATCTTTGTCACTTCTGTAATGACAAACTTATGAAATCTGTCCATAAGGTTTTTTTCTTATTAGGAAGAATGAGATGATGAAAGAACAAGGTTCTAATTGTAGACATAGAACTTAGAAAAAGACATGCCTAGAAAAAATGCACCACAGATTCTAGAGTATGGTTAAATAACAAACCAATTAGCAGATGACTCTTAAGAGCAATATGAGTATGATTTGGACCTGAAGCAGAAAGAGTTTGTGGGATACAACTAGGAGCAATGGAGGACAAGTGCATGGGGAGCTTGATAGAGTCCCATAACCAGAGAATGGTGGGTGAGGGTATGAAATTGTATCCTATAGTGTAGCATTAAAAGAATATGACTCTTAGCATGGGAGAGGGCCTGGGTTTGATCCCCAGTACCACAAAAATAAAATAACTCATGGCAGATGTTTAAACTTCTGGTACCAAGGCAAACCTGACAAAAACTATACTCTGTATCTGAAGACACCCTTTTTTCTGGACACCAGCCTCACTCCAACACTGAAGAAACTACTTAACTCAAGCACTAACATTACTTCATTTCATTTACGTTCTTTGTCTTTTTCAATAGAGATAAATAAGTCTTTTGGTGTCTTAGGATGGCGTTTCTAGGCTAGGTTTGGTTCAGTTTAAAGATTTTCACAGGTGTCTTTTCTTTGAGATAGAGATCAAATTGCCAAAGACTAGGAAAGACCCCTGTATGGGTTCCTTCCTTTACTTCTTTATTTTTTTAACATAATTTCCTCCATATTTTTCTTCCCTTAACATGCCTTAATATAAGAGGTTAGACTCTTTAGCCTGTTCATCCCCTTTCACTCTACCATCCTCTCTTCAGGGACTCACAACCAACAAATATAGGTGTTCACTGTGGGGGCCTTTCACCACTCACCCAGACTGGGCCACCCACTGTGAGCATGCCTCAGAGAACAGGCCTGTAGACCTATTCTCCCTCTTATTGCAGCAAAAATAAATGTAAGAATTATATATGTACTTGGTCACTTCAGAAAGCCACTCTTATGTCTGAGATCTTATTGCAGATTCATCCAACTATCTTTTCTTCCCAAAAATGAGATGGGGCAAGGGGCTGGGGCTGTAGCTCAGTGGTAAAGTGCTTGCCTCGCATGTGTGAGGCACTGGGTTTGATCCTCAGCACCACATAAAAATAAAGAAAGATACTGTGTGTTCACTTACAACTAAATAAATATTTAAAAAAAAAACAACAGAGATTAGAATCAACATTATTAAAAAAAAAAGGGGGGGGTAAAAGATGACCAAAGTTCATAAGTAATCAAGTCTCTTACCAAAGCTGCTAAAAAAGTCTCAGCATTTTCTAAAGTAGCTGATATTCTTTCTTATGATGCTATAAGAAAAAAGAAGGGACATGGACAGCATTTGCTTTGGACTTTTTATTTTTTGGTCTTGATTATAAAAATCATTCATAATTTCACCTGATAGAATGCTTTTGTTTTGTTGGTACTGGAGATTGAACTCGGGCACTCAACCACTGAGCCATCTCTCCAGCCCTATTTAGAGACAGGGTCTCACTGAGTTGCTTAGTGCCTGGCCATTGCTGAGGCTGGCTTTGATCTCGCTGGCCTTTAGCCTCAGCCTCTGTGCTACTGGGATTACAGGAAAGCACCACTGTACCTGGCTTGTTTTATTCTTAATTTTTATTTATTTGTTTATTTATTTTTTAGTTGTAGTGGGACACAATACCTTTATTTTATTTATTTATTTTTATGTGGTGCTGAGGCAATCTTATATTGGAAAAACTCTTTACATGTTAAGGTTGTAACTTTTATGGTGCATGTTACAAATGAGTTTTCCCAGATGTGTGTGTGTGTGTGTATGTGTGTGTGTGTGTGTGTGTGTGTGTATTTGTTGTTGTTGTTGTGGATGAACCTATTTTTAAATTTGTTTATTTATATGCAGTGCTGACCCAGTGCTTCACACATTCTAGGCAAGTGCTGAGCCACAACCCTAGCCCCTCCCAGTTTATTTTTATTTTACTTGTTACTTTCATATTATTTCCCTAATTATTTGTCTTTTGCTTGTATATTATGTTACATCTTTCCTACCCTCAAAATTAGATAACTAATTATAATTTCTATCAGTTCTAGGGTGGTCTTAATTTTTATTTTGAATACTATAAAATACCTGCAATTTCTTTTAGTATATGACATTAGGTAGTAATCTAAGTTGGTATTTTTTCCCTGCATAGCCCAGTTTTACCAGCACTATTCTCCATTAAGAAGGTTGAAGTCAGTTGGGATACTGTGGGACACTCCTGTAATCCCAGCAGATCAGGAGGCTGAGGCAGGAAAATCGCAAATTTGCCTCAGTAATTTAGCAAGGCCCTAATCAGCTTGGTGAGACCCTGACTTTAAGTAGAAAATTCTTAATGAAGGGCTGGGAATACAGTTCAGTGGTAAAGTACCTCTGGGTTAAATCCCCAGTACCCCACCACACACACACACACACACACACACACACACACACACAAAGTTGAAATTCATTCTTTTTACATTGATTTGAAATATCATTAATATCATATGCAAAATACACATACACACACACACACAAAGAATTAAGCCTAGAGGCCCTCTGCCACCAAACAACACCCCCCAGCTCTTTATCTATTAAGTCTGTTCTTTGTACCAATAATATTTTATCATTGTGATGTTAGTATTAGCAATAGTGACAGACTCATCTTTAAATTTGGAGGGAAAAAAATATTAAAATTCCAAAATGTTGGGCTGTGGCTCTTGCTTAGCAGTAGTGCACTTACCTGGTATGTG